AGCTTTCAGCATCTTACTAGTCTCTTCTAAGTATTTTCTTGTTCTAACAATGCATTAAAGCTTCATGCCAATTGAAGAGTAAAAAGCCTTTACCTGTATAGGGGTTCTGCTAGTTTGCTGAGCATCATCCTTAAATGAGTTCCTACTAGAAATTAAGGTTTTGTTCACAGTAATAGTGTTTGTTACTGAATGTCTCAATGCACTGTAGTCTTAGCACAGAAAAGCTAAGTAGTACCAGGGAGTGATCCTAGGAAGATAAGCTGTGTCATGTTTATTGATAAATTAGTGTGTTTGGAATGCTTTTGTCCAGTGCTGGTCACTAATCCACCCATTTGTGACTTTTGCTTGGCTGCTAGTATGGTACTATTTTGAAGAAGTGGCTTCGATGCATCTTCTCCACTTTAAATGAGAACAGAATTTAGTAGCATGATTTCTGCTGTGCTGGTTTTCTGCAGTGTTAGTTGGCTGCAGTGTAAGGACATGATTGAGCATGTTTGATTAAGCAGCACAGACATATGCTGTGCATCTGTGCAAGGACGAAGTCAAAGCCATCTACTTTCCTTGACCTTCTCCCTGTGTCCATCCTACTGGATCATATTTTTCATCAAGTATTTTAGGAAGCACTCTGAATTCAGGCTGCTTATTAATTATGGAAAGATATGCTGTCACACCTAAGAAAGTCTTTTTGGAACAAGGCACTACTCTGCTTGACAATGTGCATGCAACTGATTTTGAATCAATATAATGTTGAAGAAAAGTTAGTAATTATTTCATTTCACTTCTATGGATGGAATTCTACTGACAACTCAAAATGTACAATACCAAGATATGCATTTAGATCTTTCACCCAAGAGGGGGAAAAAATACATTGGTATGTGGGTATGCTCACAATAAAAACTTGAAGAAATAAGCTAATAATAGCAAATTCAGAACCACCACACTGAAGAACTGCCTTTGGCAACCAAATAAAATACAGTGGAATTAAATGTAGGTAGATTTAAAATACCATCCCTCTGCAAGATCTTAATATCTAACTCTAGGTTTCTTTACTTGATTCAAATTTTGGTCCTGATCTTCTGATCATGAGTTCTCTAGTAGCTCTTTCTTTTCAATACATAGCTGAAAATGTAGGAGTGTAGGAGGGTCTGGTCCTCTTTTTTTTTCTTCTTTTTATCCATCAGATAATTCAATTTGATACTTTTTCTCAATGTGGATATTGTGATGCTATTTTTTTGACATAGGACACTGTGTTTGAAGCAAGGTTTCTATGAAACCCAACTGTGTCTTAATATAATTTATTGCTCTTACATAGAAGTACGTTTCTATTGAATTAGAAAGTCTGTTTGAAAGGCCATTTGTTATATTTCCTTCTGCTCTCAACTGTGCTTTCAAATTTCTGCCCAATAATTTTCTATTGAACTTTCCTATTGTATCATGTTTTTGATCCTCAAATATTACCATCCACATGCATGTTTATTTTATTCAAAGTGTAGTCTCACACAGGAAAACATACACTTTTTTCATACCAGATAAAGCTATGAAAAATGAATCTCTCTTCACTTTTTGTGGAAAAAAATGTTTTTCCTGCAAGAAAATCCTTGTTTTTGTGACATACACGGTTTTAATCTTCATGATAAAACTAGTGCAAATTTTTAATTTGCTAAACTGGAAGAAAAAATTGAAATCTTTAAAGGCAGCAGATTGGGGTTTTTGTTTGGTTTTTGAAATACCTAATATATTTTCTGAGTATAGTTTATCTGAAACCCTGTATAATTTTTTCTTCCTTCCTTGTAAGTTCTCATCCAAGTAGATAAACATAATAACACAAATAACAATGCTTTCCTATAAAAATGAATCCATCTGAGTCACACATAGAACTGAGGAAAATGAGGTGCAATATATGTAATATCCTATGAAACAACTTGATATCGTGAGAGAATGCATGCATGAATGTTTCTACTATTGATCTGTTCTTTTCAACTAGTTTGTTAAGAAAATAAACACATTCCAACACAGATTAGCTCTTTTCTTATTATAGACAGAGAACATGAATTTATAGGCAGACTTCAATAGGACAGAAAGTTTTAATGTATTTGTGGCCAGAGAACAGTGATTGCAGATAGCAGCTACTCATTCATTGGAAGTGAGATAATTGGCCCTAACTGTGCTGAATTACTGTGAATAGACACCCAGGCAATGCTGCCAGCTGGGTAGAAAAAGCAGTCCTGTGCAAACACTTGTGTAGAACTGAAAGTTCTGTAAAATATATAAGGTTGTTATTATCTTTAAAATGGATTGTTTAATAGACATCTGAGAATAGGGATAAATTCTTAGAATATATTGATTTTTAGTTATAATTTTTCATGTGTTTTTTCCATGGTGAATACTTTTTATGTCCCTCCATGACATTATGGAAGAATAGTCTTTTTTTTTTTTTTTCTATATTGTATAAAATTACTTTTATGTTGTTCTTTGTCCTGTTAACTTAAAGAACCTTGTATTTCTTCATAAATCTCTGAATTATTTGCCATCTGTAGATGAAATCCACAAGCACAGCTGGAAAAAACTTAAGTATTGTTTCTGATTACTGTGGAATTTCTAGTGGTGCCTAGTACCAAAGGATGTTTACACGTTTTATACAGAAATTGTTGAGAATATCAACCCATACTATACATTACTCTAATTGAATTCAACATATTACAATTCATTTGTATAATGTTAGCTATTTCCCCCAGAAATGTCACTATGGTTGATCTGATCTACTGACTGAGGAAAGTCAGTGACTGTCACATAGAACCAAAGTACTGCATGTCAGAAACTAATAATGTTCTGTTTTATAAGAAATTTATATTATTTTATATATATGATATCCATTAACTTGATGTCGACTGTCTTGGATTTAAGCAAGAATAGAATCTGCAGCCAGCAGTAAAACCTAGAAACATATCTAGCTGGAGGCCCGTCACTGCTGATGTCCCCCAAGGTTCAATACTGAGCCCAGTATTATTTAAGTTATTCATTGGTGACTTGGATGAAGGGACAGATGCCTCCCCAGCAAGTTTGCTGATGACACAAAGCTGGGAGAAGTGGCTGATACTCCAGAGGGCTGTGCAGCCCTTCAGAAGGACCAGGACAGGCTGGAGAGATGGGCAGAGAAGAACTGTTTGAAACTCAACAAAGGCAAATGAAGGGTACTGCACCTGGGGAAGAATAACCCCAGGCAGTCATGCCCCTCATGGTATCCTGGGGGGCATTGGGAAGAGCGCTGTCAGCAGGGAGAGGGAGATCTTGCCCCTCCATTCAGCCCTGGTGTGGCCATATTTGGAGTGCTGCGTCCACTTCTGGGCTCCTTAGTACAAGGGGGATATGGAGATCCTGGAGCAGGTCCAGGGGAGAGGAATACATATGGTTAAGGGATTGGAGCATCTATCTTGCAAAGAGAAACTAAAGGGAGCAAGGTCTGTTCAGCCTTCAGGAGAGATTGCTGAGAGGGGATCTCATCAATGTCTATAAGTACCTGAAGGGTGGATGTCAAGAGGACAGACCAAGGTTCTTTTTAGTCTTGCCAATCAATAAGTTGTAAGAATGCTGTTGGCAGAAGCACTGTGGACTGCCATCTGCTGCCACCCTCTGTCCCCTCCCGTTTCTCTGAGGTGCAGCTACAGGACGTGGTGCTGAAGAAAAGTGGTTAAACATGGAATCACCACGGTGCTGAAAGACGGGGCCAGATGGGGAGGCTGTTACAGGCAACAGAACAGAGCGGGGGGAGCCCTAATCCAGCTAAGCTAAAAGGAACACAGTGAAGAGATAGCAAAATGCCAGCACCATACAGGACTGACCCCCAGCACTCTGGAGCAGCCTAAAGTGTTGCTGGAAGCACCAGCACAGAACTGAGCCCAGTAGAGCAGCGTCACAGTGTGTCTCAGATGACCATGCTTTTGGGAATGTGTCTTTTTTTTTCTGCTTTAGGGGCAGAAAACATTAGCTGCAGGAGTCCCTACCCAGCATCTTGTCTTTGTGCTGGTGAACACACAGAAGTCAAAGTGTTGAGCACCTTTTTGTGCATAAAGCACTATCACTTTTTGTATACTTTTGTTAATTATATTTCTGTTGTTACTGTGCATATCTCATTCCATTGCTGTTTTCTTTCAGTAAATTGTTTTCTTAATCCATAAGCTCTGCCTTTGTCCCTCGCCTACCAGAAGAGGTGGAAGAAGGGAAATGGCTTTTTTTTGAGTATAATTTCCATCTGGTGTTAAATCACCATGGTATGACCTGTACATGATTTGCTTTGTCCACACACAGGTTAAGTTGAAGACTGGAAAGTTAGTGTGAAGGCAACTGGTGCTGTTTTAAAGAAGTGTTTTAAATGCTCTTCCTATTATGCAGATTTCAGAAGAGCTGGGTGGGGATGTCAAAAAGAGATTTCAGATCTTGTGGCCTGACTAATATTCTTTAAAAAAAAAAGGAACCCTGTCGTCAAAGCTGGTATTCCACATGTTTCCATGGTAACTAGAGCATTCACTGACATCAAGGTTTCTATTTTGTTATCTTTTAAAATTCATTTTTATTGTTAGTATATTTCCTGTGTTTTGACTTAGAAGTGAAAAGTTGTAACATTTACTAAATTATATGTTGGGGATCTCAAGAGACCACCTCATAAAGAACATTTATTTAATTTCCCAGGAGTAGTTTAGTCATGTAACAAAAAGCAGGGAGAAAAAAAAGTATGATTTTTTAAAAAAAATACAACTCTGGAATAATTACAATATAGTTAGACCACTCACACTGGGATTCCTATGTTTGTAGTGTCTCAGGGTTGAAACATTTGATCAAAAGGTCAAACACATTAGGACGCTATTACTGGTAACTGGGTCACGGGAAAAAATAAAGCTCCGATCTTCATATGTGCAAAGAATCTGCCATTGTTACCTTCTGTTGTTAGTACAAATACAAAACTGTCACTGCCTATGAATGCAGTACCTTTTTTTTAATCTGTTTCTTAGTGTGTTTAAGAATGCCTAATACTTAACCTTGAAAGCTTTGATTACCAGAGAAGTGCCTTTTTATCCCCTTTTTTACCAACTTCTGGAATTGGAGAATAATGCTGATGAACTTTGTCTTTAATATTCCTTATTTTTTAAACGATATATTCACATTGATCACATAAGGGGAACTGTGTGACAAAAGGCTGATATGACTTTTAGGACTAATTCAGAGATGATGGCAGTTAATCTCCATAGAGACAGTGTCTTCTTTTGTTCCAAAATTACTTCACCAGTTCCTATAAAGCATAACTCCCATCTTTGATATTTCCTGGTCTTCCTTTGTCTGTACAATACCTTTTATGAGTGCTTTACTCAGCTGTGTTCCCTCTTATTCTGCAGGGATGCAAAATATTAATAGGTGTCCTGATATCCTATGACATTGAGCATTACTGTTACATATTGCAATGCTCAATTTTAATTAATTTCTGAATCTAGATTAGAGGGTTTTCTATATGATCTCTACTGGCTTTTTCAGTGATAAAAAAAAAGACTTGGAAACATGCAGAAAATATTTAACAGACAAATAAAAATTCCCTTGATAAACAGTGGATCCAGTGATAATCAAGCTTTCTTTTTTTTTTTTTTTTTTTTTGGGGGGGTATTAGGTTTTTTCTATGCCACTTAAAAACTACTTTATTTCTCTTCCACCATGTCCTCAAATATAACTGCCTTCCAAAGAAGCCAGATATGGGTGTTTCCTCTGTGTGAGCTGTGCAGCCAATCAGGTCAGTCATGTTTTTCTTCTACACAGAATATGTTATGATAGCTGCTGTTTATGTATATTATTGTGCTATTTATGTATAATGAACCAGAGTTAATCTATTTTCACTTATGCTTTCTTCTTGAGAAACAATACTTTTAAAATGGCTATGCCAGTGTTTACACTAAAAAGCCTGAAACCTGAATATTCATGAACTCACGATGATCATATCAGGGTACAAACCACTATTGTTATTATCATAATCTTCATCATTATTACCATTATTATTACTGCTTCTATTGCTATTATTTTCTATTCAGGCTAAATATTGCTATCAGATCATGTGTGTGATGATATTGTGATTTCTGAGGAGTCCTTCAAATTAGAAACCTGCTACTTGCTTGAAAGTTGAATTGAAAGCTTTTTATATTTGTCTTATAAACTTCTACTTCTGGAAACTTGCTACAGTCATGGAATGCTCTCCTTCTCTCTTTACATGTACATATGTATTCAGTGATGTATATTACAACATATGTATGGATATATTTATATGGTAGCTATAAGTCTTTTTCCTCTCAAATATATGAAACCAATCTTGCTTCTGTAGTTGAGACACCCATCTAACAGTCAATGACAAAGGCAAATTATTAAAAATATTGGTTGAATAAGGAAACTTAAAATTTCTACAAAAATGATATTGTGTAGAAACAGGGACTTTACAATTGTACATGTGTTTATTTTCCGATTTCTCTGTCCAAATCTTGTGGAGAATTTATCATTAACATAACAGAAAGTCAGAGAGATAGTCATCTTTTTCTCTATCAGTTGCTGGCTTCTTTTAGAACTTATCATTAGTTTAACTTTTATCAGGCTGCACAGTGTTTCATAGTTTGAAAGTCTTATGTGTTTTAAGAATTTTAAGCAGTACATGACTTCAAAGTTTCCCTTTGGGGGAAATTGATAATAATATAATTGAGTGAATTTCTTGATGCAGTTTAATCATGCATTATCTGTTAGCTTCTTAAGTTTAAATTAATCAGTCACGTTTAAGCTTTTTTAGTGCTTTTATTTCTTTAAAATCAGGTGCTTCTAAAAATATATTCTCCTATTTTGCTATTTGGGATTTTTAAAATCTGTTTTTAAGTTTTATCATTAACTGCAGAGTGAGTAGTATTTTAAATGTTCTGATAGTAAAATAAGAGAAGGGAGAACTTCTTGATAGGTAATTATCACCTCTTAAATATACTCCTTAAAGAAAAAACATAACTGCAAAGAATGAGGAGAAAGAGTAGAAGAAGGGGAAATATAGGTGGTGGATATCGTAATGACATAATAAATGATGAAAAGAGAAAGGGATAGCTAAACTAAACACATGAATGAATATTCAGGTGTTCTGTTTTAACCAAATAAATAAGAGTAATAAATGAAACAAATTAAGCAACATCACTGGGTTCTTAAATTAAAAAGAAAAAACATTGTGATAGAAGGCCAAAGCGATTTCAATTAGAAAAGACGTAAAGATGGTTTTACTTATTGTTGAAGAAAATGCTATTCCCCACTGTGAAGCAGTGAGTCAGTTAACAAGAGAATGGCTAAGATATACTGCATGTAGTCTGCTTTTGTGACTTTATTCCAAAAGATCATACATAATCGAGTAGGTTTTTGTAGGAATTCTTTGTCAACTGGGTAGTGTTGCTGTTCAGCAAAGATAGGGCAGAATTAAAAGTTCAGTTGCTTTTATAATCTATTGAGGAAGATTCCCTTCTTTTAATGTTTTCTCTTGACAAGTCTGAAATAAAGTGAGCTCAGAAACTTTTCATGTAGAGAAGTTATTATTCAGTGTGCCTTTCTAAAGTGTTAGTGAACTCATTCTTTTCTTTCTTTTCAGTTTCTTACTTTCATTCTTTTTCCTTCTTTCTTTGAGAATTTTTATTACTCTCAATTTTTTAATGCCTGTTTCTTGTCAGAAATCTGTGGTAGGTACCACCTAAGTGTTGGGCGTTCAAAATGCTCTAAATTTGTCTTTATTCTAATTAGATAGAGCTTTTTAAAAAAGAAAGATAACTTCGGGCTTGTTTTCATTACTTTTCCTCCTTTTCCTAAATTTCAGGAAGACAAAACATTGCATCTGTAAGTCTGCCAATACGTTGTTTAAGAAGTCCATTTACTGCTTGTCATGTACAATGTTGTACGGTGTTGACACCAGTTGACATTTCTAAGAGGTTTTGATTTTTGCTGACCGATGTTTTGTCACAAAGGTGAAACCAACTGTGTTTTATTGTGCATATATAATAACAACTTTCATAATTTACTCCATCTTTCTATCTTTGTTTAACTGCAGGTAGATAGAAATTAAACTCTACAAGTTTATTTTCATCTCCCTTCATTATATGTGTCTATGTCTGTTCTTTCCTAATTATCATATAACTTCAGCACCAAATATTTTTGATTTATGTAAATACATACATTCACATATAATTATTATGTTAAAAAATTATGTATACAATATGTCTATTTGATCTGGTCAAAATAATCTGTAGCATCAACAGTTTTCAGTTGATTATATCTTCATCTGGTTTGGAACTATCAAATTTCTTCTTGATGTCAAAATTACTCAGATTTATCAGTGGCTAATTATTACATGATCCTAAAGAAAAATCAAGGGTAGAGGTACTTGTTTTTAAGAGAAGGATGTGCTTTTGTCTCACATGGACATGTTTTGTTTGGAAATGAATGAATTCTAGTCTGTGCAGCAATAATGTGGTAACTGCACAGCTGAGAGCAAAACAGATTGCTCTATCTCTGACCTATTTGAATATGCAACATTCTGGTGTATCCTTGTTGTCAAATCCCATTGAAGTCAATGATGCAAGTCCCTTTTTCAAGTCAAGGGAATTTTGCATCATATAAATAATAAGCAATAGAACAACTGCTCAAGCTGCTCCCTGAGCAACAGACTGATCCTGCAACGAACAAGAGTAAAAATTGTATTATTTTTGCTCAGCAAGTACTGTACCTAATCACACAATTTAACATTATGCAGAAATTTTCATTACAGGAATATTATCAGAATATTACTAAAACTTGCTCATTGGCCCTCTTTTTGAAAAATGCTTGAGAAAAGATGGCCTGAGATGGATATCAGGTGGATAAATTTTGATAATTCTGAATCATTAACATATGGAAAATAAATACAGAACAAAAAGGAGTTTTATCTTGGAAAATATCAAACAAGCTTTTTAATAGAAAAGCCTGTTGCCCTAAGACTGTGATGGATGTAACTGTTCTTGCCATGAAGAGCACAGTTATCTGAATAATTGATGTTTATCCTTTACTTTCCCAGCCTATTAAAATTCTATTTATAGTTGTCTTCACTGATTTTATTTTTATCTTAAAAGCATTAACTTCTCTTTTCTTTCATTTGGTCTATCCAGGCTACCAACTGTGCAGAGCATATTGTTCATGCCACCTGCAAACTATATCACTAAAACTCACGGCATCATCATTTGATTTTATAACCCTTCACTGAAGTTTAATTGCTTTATTTGGCTACATAAGACCTTAGCTGAAATTCAAAGCTTCAAGAGTCTCACATTTTTTCCAAGAATGCTTATTTCCTAGGTATCAGTTAAGATACATTCCAATATTTTACCATCAGAGAGATGAATCTAACTGCCCGGTTTGCGCAAATTGCATAATCAAAGCACGTATATTTGGATGCATAGTGCACTTCCTATGGCAAGCAGAGAGTAAAATAACCCACAGTGAAAGGGAAACTTAGAGAAGGTGTCTCTTTCTTCACTTTCTGTACTTTTTGTGAATTAGACTTGCCTAACTAGTGAGATAATGTGGTACAAAATGTTTGTGGTTAGATCATTATTATGAAGTTACAAAATAGTGATAATTTAATTTAAATCTTCAAATACCAATGTGATGATATGTGAGTGGCTATGCCCTTCATGTAGATTTTGAATCCAGAAATATTTATAGTCTCCTTTTTTTCTTTAACCTCTTGGTATTACTCAGGCTCATTTAAGAAAGTGTAGCAATTTCCTTTTTTCCGTATCCCTGTTTTTTCCTTCTGAGGAGAAGTGGCAAGAGCCTCGCATTTCCTTGATTCCTTTGGTTTTTTTCACCTATTCCCTATACTATCTTGTACTTCTGTATTAAATTGGACCTGCTGAAATGCTGAGTTGAAGAAATTACTTTATTTCTGTGCACTGTAGCATGGGAAATACTGGCCCCTCCAATCTCCCAGAATTGGTACTGAGTCTTTGGGCATGCTGCCAAAAAACTCCACCTTTCCACTTTCCTGTGCTTTACCTCTGAATCTGGTAAACTCATGATTTCTTGGTAACCTGGATGATGTGACAAATTTCCACAAGCTGAAGCTAGAACAGGCAGCGGGGTCATGCAAGGCAGGTCCATAAAGGCACAGAAAATTAACATTAATATTATCCTTGTGTCAATATAAATAATGAATGTCAATTTTCTGTAATAACTTACAGATTTCTAGCCACATTGAATAAAATAATTGAAAGTTGATGTCACATACATATTAGATTTGCAGTTGTCCCTCTTTGCAATCTCCTAGCCTGTTGAGTGTGGAAGTACTTGGACAGAAGTTGTGAGCTGAAGACTCATATTCCTTGGTTTAGTCTTAATGGTAACAGAACAAACAGAATTTTTGTTTGAAAAATGTTTCTTTTATGTAGGAGGACATATTAACAGGCTAAATTTAAGGAAAAATCAAGGCAGGAACAATCTCCCCTCAACTCCCTTCCAAAAGAAACTTCAGGCTATGACACAGCCTCATAATAGTGGAAGTCACAGCTATGTTAAAACCAGGTAATTCTTGTCTTATGGTATCTATTATGTGCTAAGTTGAAAGTTTCAATAAAGTATTAGAGCTCCTGAGAGACCAAGCATTCAATCTTGAGGTAATTTCAACAAAATTATATTTTAAAATACATATTGTTACATTGGAACAACAAGAAAAACATTAAATGCATTTGAGGATCTGTTTTGTAAGAATATCCATTTTCAGGCTGGAAAGATTGCCTTTTAAATTCAATTTCTTTTGGTCTGTTGCCTTTGGATTCTTGTTTTGTACTCTCCTAAGAAATACTGGGGTATTGACAGCTTTCCTAAGAAATCATCCTGTTTACAATTCTTGTTGAAACTGTTACATCTGTAAAATACATCAGCTTCAATAAAATTTCAATTTCCATCCCATCCTAAGTAGCTTAACAGCTTTAGTGACTATGTGGCAGCAGAAAAACCTGTTTCTTCAAAACTCCTTTCCTCGCCTCCTTTCCTTTTGGGTTACTCTTTAATATAAGAAAATGCAGCAGCAAAAAAAGAGCCTTGCCAAAGTTTCATATAAAACATTTTCGCCTCTAAAATTTTTAGAGGAAGAGAAAGTTTGGAACAGCTGAAGTTTCATTTGTTTATTTGGCTGTTTGTTTTTTTTCATAGCATTGCAGAACACCCCAGGTTGGAAGCAACCTGAAAAGATGATCTGGTTCAACTTTCTGTGGGAACAGGAGCCTAGATGAGATTATCTAGTACCATGTCCATTCACCTCTTGAAAACCTCCAATGACAGGTTCCACACTATGTTGTTAGAGAAGCTGTTCCAGTGAGTGATTGTTCCCACTGTAAAACAAATTATTTCTCCTGTAGACATTAAAGTTTTCCCAGTGCAACTGTTACTCGTTACCCTGGTCTTCTCCATGTGGCTCCCTCTGAACAGAGAATCTGACTGTATCTTTCTTGAATTGTGAGGACCAAAACTAGCCACAACAACCCAAGTGTAGCCTGATTAGCACAGAGGAGAGTGGGATGATCATATTTCTAGCTCTGCTAGTAACAACCCTGCAGGTGCAGCCCAGGAACTGATTTCTCTTTTTAGCTGCAGCACTGTATGGCCAACCCATGTTCAACTTGTCTACCAGCACTCCTGTTGCACTCCTGTTTTCCTCTCAGCAAGTCTGCTTTGCAGCTACACAGATCCTAGCCTGTAATTTGATCTTTGGTTATGTTGCCTCAGGTGCAGAACTTTACTCTGTCTTTGCTATACTTCATACTGTTCTCTCAGCTCATTTAGGTCTTTCTGTAGGATAGCTTTATCTTCTAGCCATCCTCTATGTGAGGTGTTCACCTCACCACCCAGCTTTATGATATCAGTAGATGTGGTGAGGATAGTTTCAATGCCTGAGGTAGACCCTTTTTGACAGACTGCCAGTCTGAGTAAAAAACATTAAATACTACCCTCTAAAGTGTGGCCTGCTATTTAATTTAAAACCAAAGGAACTAGCAAGTTTCTTTCCTACAGAATCTGTAGGTAGGAAAGAAACTTGCTAGTTCCTTTGGTTTTAAATTAAATTAGTTAGCAAAGTATCTGAAATAAATTCTGTCTGTCTAAGAATGTGTCATAGGGAATCTCTGCCTGAGAGGCATCTGTGAACAAAACAAAATTATATGACTATTTCATTTACCCATGAGAATGATCCTGGAAGTTTTACACAACCCTAGTACTTAACTCAGAACTGTTACTGAAAAGTTACATTGTATTTAAAATTTATATTTGTATTGTAAATTCTTACAAATGAATGGGGAAAAAAGGAATACTTAAAAATATTAGTAAAAAAAATTAGCAAAGCTAAATGTGGGTTTTCATGTTTAATGATTAAACATATTTTCACTATGTAAAAACTACTAATTTAACTTTGTGCAAATTATATTCAAAGTGAACAAGTAATTTAGCATTAAATAGGTTCCAGAGTTTAAGCATATGTGTGTAGCATGTAGTCTTTGCCTAAGAGCTGATGAGAGCATATATTAAGTACAATATCTAGCATTTACATAGGATGAAGGCATTCAAACACCTGCTAAGCAAAACATAAATGTTCACGACTGTGCAAGCAAAATTTTTGCAGACATGGAAAAGTACTTTCACCTATAGCTATTTGAAAATTATTTATAGCGCTAACAGTAAAGTGTAATTTATAGAAGGGGAAATAGACAAAAAAACCCTCATAAATAATATTTTGCCTTTAATAGAAAAGAGAATAAGAAGAAAAAAACCTGTTTACTTTACAAAAGAAACAGAAAACAAAAAAAAACCAAAAAACAACAAAAACCAAACAAAAAACCCCACCCCCCCCAAAAAAAAAAAAAAACCAAAAAAAAACCAAAAAAACCAAACATCCAACATACAACAACCAACCCATAAAAGACTATTAAGAAACCAAATATATTTTCTGTGTAATTTTGATTGTTTAGTTTGTTTTTGTTCTCCTTTCCATAGAAGATTATTTAATTTTGATCAGGTTTTATGTATCTTAACAAGCTTATTTTCATGGTAGCTTAGATATTTTGAAAATCTCAAGTGTTTTCATATTTATATATTAATAAATTGTATTTAAAGACTTTAGCTTTTATCATGATTGCACCTCACTACACTAAGATCAAAATTTTGCTCAATCTTTTGCTGTTTGTGCATATAAAGTTTATAGAGTTGTCATGGTTTAACATCCCAACTGCTTGTGCACCCCAGCTCCCTTACAGGAGATGATGTGATGAAAAAAGCATCAGTGGAGTTGGGTGAAGAGTAGAAAAGACCTTGACACTGTGTAAGGGCCCTTCAGCAATAACTGAAACATGCCTATGTTGTCAACAATGAACAAACCCATAATAGTCCCATGTTAGCTACTGTGAAGAAAAATACCTATATTCCAGCCAAAACCAAAATGGAATACTTGGTTAGAGTAATAAACAATTGTTTTTTTAGGATCTGTGAGTCAAAAGACTCGTGTGAAGACATAGTTACGTATGTGGATTATTGTTTATATTCAAGTGTGCTTAATAGAAATTACAATGAGAGCAAAAACAAACAAAAGAAACTCTTGTGTTAGTAATTTCAAGTATATAATTTGAGTTAAACTCTTTTGGCACCTTTTTTTTTTCTTTTTTTAATTCCTTTCAGGAAAAATTAAAAAAGTACTTAAAAAATCTTGTTAAGTAAGCCAACGATACCAAGAGCATTTCCAAATTTATCTGGTTTCCATTTTCCAGTCTAAGTAATTGCTTTCCTGCCAATGTCTAAGAAAACTTTCCCTGCAGAGCATCAAAGCAAAAATATTCAAATATTTCCCACCGGGTCTTGTCTGTCTTCAAATTATTGAAGACAGACGGAATTATTATCAATAAATTATTGATGCCCAGGGAGACATGAAGAAAGAAAACCTCTCTAATTGTTCACTGTGGAAAACGGGCTGGTCCACTCCTAGTAGCTAGGTGAAGCATTAGATTTAATTATAATCATTATCATTATCTTAATGTAAAGCCTCAAGTATTGTGAGCATGTTGAAGCAAGTGTCATACTTTGTGCTCTCTCCAACGTAGAAAGCAGTGAAAGCATAGTCTCAATCCAGAAGTCACCACAGCCAAACCACCTTCACAAACATGCTGCAGAATTTTTTCTCATAAATTGAATCAAAATGAGTTCAAAAAATCTCCAAACAATGATCAGTTGATGACCTGTTTTTTTTTACACTATTTCAAAACTGGAGAGAAAACTTTATCAGGGGATTTCCTATTCTATATCCTAGTGCATGACAAGTAATACCAGCATGATGACACCTCTCATCACTGAGATAATTTTCCCTTATTAATAGATTGCAGACATGGAAAGATATTGCTATGCTTGTGTTTTTAGCTGTTTTTGTGCCTATACTTGCAAGCTGCTTTTTTGTACTGTTATTAGAACCCTTGGTAATGGAGAGATTGTCTCACTAACCTCTACAACTTTTTATAAACGTGTTGGACTGTTTTCCTCACTTCAGAACCCTTCAGATCCCTGTGGCAACAGCAGCAATTTCTTACAAGAGAAAATAATGTTAGAGAAGTATCTAATGTATTTTTATCTGTCTTTAGTGCAATATAGCAGCTGGAAATGAGGAGGAAAGCTGCCATCCTGGAACCAGTCAGTGCTCCCCGGGACAACATCAAGAGATCCATGGTTCACTGGCACTCCACAGCCTCTAGTTTGCCTTAGGAAATGAATGACTGGTCTCATTATCCTGGTAAATGCCTCAGGGCAATGAAGAGTCAAAGAATCATTCTCTTCAAGCAATGCACTTTGGGGAAGCTATCTCTAAGCGGAGTACCTTAGAGTCCTGAGAAAATCCTTTCCTCAAGAGACTACCTCATTACCTTTGTGACTAGACTATCACTGAATTCCAGAGAGGAGCCAGAACTGGAGAATTGATGAGTAGAGAGGAGTCAGGACCCTGCCCCTTTGAAATACATACCTTTATTTGGGATAAAATGGCCTTTATGTCGTGAATGTTTGGCTTATTATAAAACTATATTTGCAGAATGACTGAAAAAACACACATGCAAAATGGGCTAGATTTGATAGGATGCAATATTATTTGAAGAAAAAAATTATCTCCCTGTGTGTAGGAGGTTTGTCATTTTTCTTCCTGAGAGAAAAGTGTGGGGAATAGCAGCACTGCTACAACTTTAATTTTACTAAAAATGTGCTATCTATATCTATAAATGAAATCTTTCACATTGAAGTCTGAGTTTGGAAAGTTATACAGGAAAAAAAAGGAAAAAGTTGAAGAAATTTATTTTAGAACTTACATCAAAAATTCACCCACCGTGGAGGGTGGGAGCTTTGACTTAAATACTATTAGCTCCCCATATTCAGAATTCAAGATATCAGAATTATTTTTAGCTACATTTTTGAGACCTTGATTGCTGGACACTCCTCATCACTTTCCCACTAAGCCAGAGTAAGACCATTATGGAAACTGCAAGCTCATACTCACTCCTGTATTTAAATAGATAAACAAACATGTTCCCATACAGATGTGAAACTAGAATTTCTTATGTAAGCCAACAATCTATTTCTTTATCTATTTCTGAAAAAAAGTCTCATGATTACTTACCAAATTTTTAAGCCTCAGAAATTGAATTAACCGTATTGATTTAAAAGATTTTGATAATGAGGATGAACATGTAAGTAACCTGGTCATTCATTACCTGTAAATATGCTGAGAGATCTTTTGCTGCAGGTTTTTCATGCTGTTTCTGTGGTGTATTTTTGGCATATTCTGTACTGCTCATTTGTGATATGGTAATTTACAGTTAAGCGTCCTCTGGGTTTGATTTTGTTGTTTTGTTTTGCTTGAATTGTGTTGGAGTTTTTTTTTTTTTTGGTGGTGTTTTGATTTTTTTTTTATTCACTTAATTTTTCTTGTATTTGTTCTGAGATAAATATTCAGGCATTTAGAAAAGAAAGTTCACCCACTCTTTGCAATACTACTGCTCCCCACCTACATACCACCTACCCTGCTAAGCTGCCTTGGGTAAATTGGCAACTAAGATTTCAGGCAGAATCTTTCTGACTGTAATCCCCACTGCCACTGTGAAATAACTTCCTAGCACCTATCTCTCAAGGGCATTTTTCATCCCATACTGGAGAGCACTTGCTAATGCAGTTGTTGAAGCAAACTGTAAGCCACTTCAGTCTAAGAGTTTGATTCACAAACCTAAATAATATCTGAAATCCCAGACATGTTCCCAAAGTACTAAACTGTGGAACATGCAAAGAGTTTCTGCTCTCCACTCCATTGTTAAAACCAGATGCTTATAATGAGGATTGAAACACTGATGTGTCCAAACTCTGGACAACTAAACTGAACTGAGATGCCAATTAGTGACAACACACTAAAAGAAAACCAGACCTAAAGGCAATTAATTGTTTATTTAAAACTTAGATATTAAATTGTCTGAAGTATATGAGCTTGATATGTGTGTTTTTCATGTTTTTTATTTTTGTCTCTGTGTGAATTTATTAAGTTCTTTTAAATTTTTAGGACCCTAATTTGTGGATTAGAATCTAAAATACTCATTTCACAGTAGCACCTGCTGAGACAGTCCTCTAAGGCAATTTCAGCTGTCCTTTGTCTGACTCAGAGGTCCCTCCAACTCAGGACAATGCTGCTGTCATTTCCCTATATGGGAGCCAATCTAGTATTATGGCTACATGAACACCTGTGTATCTAAGCCAACATTATGTGCTTCATTTTGAGAGGTGGCTCTTTCACTTCTAGGCAGTACATTTTTAAGCACCATAATGTTTTATCTCTTTGCTTACATTTCAAGGAATTTAGAGCTAAATTCACTATATATATAGAAAGAGAAATACATATGCATGGTAACACCTCTTAAGTCCAAGACCGTATAGAAAAGAAATATCCTCATTTGGATTGCAAAAGTATCTCTCAGTAGGAAAAAGAAGAATTAAAAGGCTGTGGTGTTCAATTATACCACTCTTCTATCTGAGAGATCATAGTCAGTTTGAAATATGCAACAATTCCAATTCAGTAACAACCATCAGTGTTAGGACAAGAAAAAAAACTGAGGAGTTTCAGAACTCATTTTCTACCTCTTCATTTTAGGAAAGATTTTTTTACTTCATCTCTCTAGGAATTTTTGAGGACCATGAGTGTATTCATACATCTTTGTGAGAAAATAATGCCTTTCATAATTCTCCAAAAGTTAAAGACAAGCATCTGAGCCTTTCATCTGTAATAATGAGTCCATCCTGCTCTTAAAGTATCTTATGAATTTTCTATCCTTTGCATTATTTTCAGATAAACCTTTTAAAATTCTGTACTACTCTGTGTGAAGAGGGGACTAAAAAGAGCAAAAAAAACCCCACTTTCTGGGAGCAAGAATTAAGAAGAAACTGTTAAGTGGTTCTAGTGTCTATAATTTCTTTATGCTAATTAAGAAAAGTTCAGAATCTGCTTCAGGCTATCTTGCTCAAAGAGCAAAGACCCAAACAGACATTGTGTTTTCCAGTTACAGGATTGCAACTGTATTGATTGCCAAAGGTTATATGAAGTTTAAGAATAATATAAGTCATTTGAATTATTTATAAAACTTGGATAGTTATCTCTGATTTTGAATATTAAATGTTATTAAAAATCAGAAAATAGTAGGGTGCATTTTACTTTGTTTAAAATGCTATTTTTGAATATATTTCCTAATAAAGGACAAAACCCCTCCACTTTAAAAATGCAGGATAGCTTTTCTGGCTGTATTAATTGCTGCAGTTAAAGAATTCGCAAAAACAGTCAGCATAAGATTTGCAAATATTAAACTTCTATATTTTAGAAATTAGTTCATATATATATCTTCTGTGGAAACTAGGCTCTATTAGAAACTGTTGTGGTCTTTTTAATTGGAAAATTCTGCTGAATAGAAAATAATTTTAAGGTGCTTCCTTGGACCAGGAAAGAAACCCAAGCAAAACCAGAAAGATTTTGTAGCTCCCATTATCTAGACTCCTATCTGCTATAAAGAAAAAAAAAAAAAGGAGAATATGGATTGGGTTACAGCTTTACAAATAGCATGTAAATTTTTGAATATTTCCCTCATATAAGTCTCTTTTCCAAAGCTTTTCTATTGTACTGTTCAATTTAAATAGATAGTCAAAGAATCAATATAATACAGAAATGAACATTTCCTCTTCCTTAAATGTAAAAGCACCTTATGTATTGAGCTATTCTAAGAATGTTTTCTTGGAAAAAATTTTAACACAAGACTTCTGAAATTTTGTTTTCCTCACAGTGGACAACAGAAAAGTGTTTAAAATATGTTCACAGAGAACATACCTCTTGCTCAGCTCTACTAAGAGCTAATACCTTTGTTGCCTATATTTGAGATCTGTTTGGGTTAAGAGTATCACAGTTCCTTGAATTGTGAAAATTTACAAGTATCAAATACCTAGCCAATTATTCTGGAGCTTACAATTAAATTACTCTCCTCTGTTCAAAATATGACAAGAAGCCCAATAACTAAGTCAGAATTTCTTTGCCTCCCAACTCACTAATGATTTGAAGAGTGCACATTTTTAATTTAAGCAATACAGTTTAATGTCAAAACAATTCCGGTGTCACACTGACAGGTATTATCTTATTTATGTACAGTAAGTAAGACAGAAATAAAAAGAGTTATTGTGTTCAGAAATTTGTGACTCATTCTTATATTCACTGTCTTTGGATTGCTTTATTGAAATGTAACAAGTGCTTGTTCATGAAAATGCAAACAATATATGGAATCATTTTCTTAATATTGCAGTTTACAATGGTTTTACACTGACAGTACAGGAAGAATGTAGGATATGGTGGTCGTAAGTTCCAGTTGTCTTAATTCACTTGGGACTGTAGTGACATTTGGAGAAAACAAACATTTTACAGAAACATTCACAAAATACTGATAAAACTATAAATTACATTTTTCAAGTTTAGAATAGAATAGAATAGAATAGAATAGTTCATTTACAACAATCACCTAGTTCAACTGCCTGACCACATCAGGTGTGACTGAAAGTTAAAGCACATTCCTAGGGGTATTGTTGTAATGCCTCTTGCACATTAACCAGCTTGGATTATCAACCACCATTTTGGGAAGCCCAGTGTGTTTGACAAGTGTCTGTCCAACCTCTTGGTAAAAATAAAATGCTTCCTGATGTCCATTCTGAATGTCGCTTGATGAAGCTTTAAAGCATTCCTACACATTCCGTCACTGGATACCAGAGGGAAGAGTTCAGCATTTCCTTTTCCATTTTCCCTCCTCAAGAAATGTAGAGAGGAAGAATTTAATTTTGGTGTTTAATCAGACCCAGGAGAATGATACAGAATAATAGGATCTAAGAGATTACAAATGACTAGTTTTGATATATAATGTAACGTGTCATATACCAGAGGAAAACAAGATGTCCCCCTCCTTTCCCTCAGACTTGTCATGAAGGATGGAGATGAGGGAATCTTTTTTCTCTGCTTGGTATACTACTCTTCTTGAAGGTTTATTGCAGGTTTTGGAAAAGCAAAATATTTATACAAAAGGAACAGCAAAGTATATCACTATCAAAAGACAAAAGGTGAAAGGAGAAAGTGTACACCATAATTTTCTCAGTCTTGTCTTCTGTTCAGCTATCTAAGGCGCAGTGGAGTTAATTAGAATGTTTTCATGAGTGAGTTGAGAAAGGTGGATCACAGTGGGTATGGGTTTAGAAATGTTATTAAGTTTGCATTCATGCTGGCTTTCTTGAGTATGATGTGCTTTTCTAAAGCTTTAGTTTCTAACAAAACTGGAACTGCAGCCGCAGCAACAGCAGGAACAGATTTCTGAGTGTAAATCAGAGTCTTGCCCTTCCCCAATCACAGCTGTGTATTTGCTAGTTCTAGTACTGTATAGCAGTGAAGTGAACAAAGATGAAGAAAATATTAAAAGGTCAGCAGCTCGGACTGTAAGAAACTCATTGGAAAATAAGGGTGTGTCTGAAAAATCTGGAAATGTGTGGATAATATTCCTTAAAAATGGGTAATATCACTTCAAAAGGGAATTGCCACCACAGACCTACAGAGGACAAAAGTGTATCAAAAGTCTTCACAACAAGGAAGGATTTACGGAGAAACTGACAGGTCCCCATCTTCCTGATAGACTGCTGGCATCACACACACACATTACATGATTCCTCAGGGATTGTGTAGGGCTGGCTGTGCTGTGCACGTATGACTGCTGACTTCCTGTTTGTGTCGGGAAGGAGTCCTATTGCAGCCTGAAGCCCTGTAACATTGAGATCCGTTTCCCAAGGTGATACCTCTTGTCTGATGATCTCAGTGGGAGTTATTTGGGAGCATGTTCCTATCAGGGCTACTGTGGCTGCAGTGATTGCTTTTATGCTTCTGCCATTCTCTCCTCCAAATAAAGTTGTCTCTGCTTGGTGACTCCTGAAGGAAATACCAATCGTTATTTAAACCATTGGATGGCTTTGGAGTGCACATTTACTGAAGTTTAAAACAGAAAAGAGAAAGGAAAAATAGAACTGAAAAGCAGTGCAATACACTAGTACATAACTGAACAAGAATGAAAGACAGATGCTTGGTGACATTCCTCTTGTCTCAACCTGACTATTTGCTGACTGTTCTGACATATCTAACAGTCACAGTTAGATCAGAGTTGGCTAGGTCAGAAGGAAATACGACCAGGAAACCACACAACTGTATTACCTCAAGTTCATGTATCTTGCTGCTCTACAAGGCTGATTAACACAGCATCTGATGCTAAACCCAGCCCAGACAGTGAGATTTCAGGGCATGAACAGTAGCAAAATTTCCAATGTTTTAAATGAGTTTTCATGTAAATGCTTATGCATCCTGATGCTGCTTACCATCTTTGGAAGGCTTTTCTCGATTTCTCTGTTGGACATAAACATCTAAATCCACCTAATTTATACTTTTATTGCTCAATGCAGCTTGGCTCTTATCTATAGCAAATTGTTTATAGTCTTTAACTGCGCCATATGTCATCTGGAACATAAGAATACAGTTTTGGGGTTATAAAGTAAGAATATAGGACACAGTACAGCTCATGAATACTTCTTGACCTTGCTTTGAACAAGCTACATCTGGAACTTGCACCGCTAACAGTAGCAGCAGTTAGACTACTCAGCTGGGATATCAGTTTCCTCCTAAGTGCTTTCCACTTGACATGATTAACTGAACTTAACCATGTTAAATTCATGCAGTAAGTTTGGATATAAGTGATGAGGTGGCTGTGGTTCACTCCACTGCTCCAACATCTTTAAGCAACCAGAGTTGATACTAGAAAATCAAATTAATTTGTTTTATGCTCAGTTATTTAGATATGAACTTTTCTGAGTGGCTAATGTGCCACAAACATCAATGACCTCTATTTTTTAGCAACTCCAAAAGAACAGAATAATTTCTCAAAGTGTAAACTTTAGGGTAATTTCAATATGTCATGAAAAATATTTACTAAAGCAAATGATCAGAAAATAGCAGTTGCTTAGTGCAACTAAGTGCAGCTTCATACCTGACATGGGTTATTGATTTTCCTTGGCAAGTACTAGAAAATTTCACTCTCTCTGTGTAACCTAATGAATTTGGTAATTTAGAATGCAGTTAAACTCTGAATTTGGGAATGAAAAGAACCAACTTCACCACATAGCTAAAGCAATTTCCAGTGATATTTTTCCCCACTCATGCACTGTTCCTTCAGAAAGTCTTATTATTCCTTCCCAATTGCATTATTTCTTGTGTTTTACTTCATTTTTTGTATGTTCCAGGATATTTATTCAAGTTAATTGTTTTCAATACACCTTTATCTATTTTCATGTAGCTCTGTGATTTGGGGATTTTTTGCAATCCTTTTCTCCTGAATTCAGGAAACATAAACTTTCCAGCATTTTAAAACCCAGTATTAAAATACATATTTTCATAGCTGAATGATTTTTCAATTTAACAAATCATCAAATAAAAATATTTTTAAAATCATGTAATAAAAAAATTCTCCTATTCCCCAAAGCAATGAAGTTCTCTCTCATACTGTCCCTATATTTTCAACTGTGATTGTGGTCACATGCAGTTGACACATGCAATTACTGCCCTCTTTTTGAATTTCCTATGTAATCCTAGTCCCTGTTTGTCCCTAACTTGTCTCTATTATGGAAAAATATATTAATTGGATGCTTAAGGTGAAGAAGTCTGATCTTTGACAGCAGCAGCTACTCTGCCATTCATATCTGTATAGTTCAGGTTAAATATAGCCCCTTGAGAAGAAATAAAACACATAAACAAGAGGTTCTAACATCTAACAAACTTCCTGAGGATACTATTTATCCTATGTGACCTAAGCAAAATCACTCATGTCTTTCATATCTCTTTCCCTTACAGCAAAAATAGGATAATTGTATACATGGACTTAAACAGAAAAACCACATATTTCAGTTTTCATGAAGAGGGTAGAGAGGGCAAAAGTCTAGACAGAAATAAACAGGTGCAATAGGTCCAAGAATTAACTTGAAAATTGCAATAAGTGAACCTATTGCTAGTATAGATCTCAAGAATATAACTTGACTGAAATTTAGACAGAGTTTTTTAAATATAAGTCACCATGAAATATATTAATATTGATGAAACATCACCTTCTGTTTGACCTTAACTACAACTGGTGACTAGACCTGGGGAGAAAAAGTATGAAAGTTACTTAAGAAGCAAAGAAAAAGGGAAAAGGTCAATTTGGGTGGTAGATTTAATGAATAACAGCCACCTTAGAAAACCTGGAGTACTGACAGTACTGCCAAAGTGCAGCATCATTAGCCAGACGTTTCTGAGACAAACTATATATAAAACAAAGGTTGTGGAACAGATAATATTTACAACATTGAAAAGTTTGATAATATAAATAAATAAGAACATTTGATGTTCACAGTCTAGAAGTGTAGCAGCAGACTGCAGATATCTTGGAGGGGAGGCATTAGAGTTCTTCAAGAAAAAGAGGAGGGAGACCTGGAATAGAAAAAAAACCCAAACTGACAGAAAAACCCCAAAGTCTAAAAGAATTGAGAAATACTTTGCAATGGCAAAAGTATGTCAGGTTTTTTATAATCTGTGAAATTTATTTTAAAAATATAGCCATTACAGTGATAATGCTACAGGGCTAGATTTTACATTGGTAAGAATGGAAGGAAAATAAAATGCATAGGCATCATGTGGAATATATGGCATGCATAATAAAATGTATGGAAGTAGTTTTTCTAAATAATATCATTATTGTCAGGTGGCCATTTTTAGCCACTTCAAACATATATATCATTGCAAAAAATTATGTGAAAATTACATAATGTAAAAGAGACTGGAAATCTAAAAGCACTTAAATATTCGATAAACTAAAGTAGGTGGACATTTGAGACATAAAATTATATAATTTTTTTTATCTCTTCTTTCAGTTGAGTAATCCATCAGTACGTTAAACCTAAAGGTTTTATCAATACCTAATGAGAAAATATTCTACAATTACATAATTTTTATGACTGTCAGAGATCAATCAACACTGTTTATCAAGCTGAGTAAGAGATATGGTTAAACAGCTCACATTATAAAATGAAAATTTTCAATGAAAGTGTTTCATTGTCTAGACATCAGAATGCCTGATTTT